TCTTTATACTCAGCACAGACACACTGAGGAACCAGGAGTCCAGAACCCAAACCCGGGAAGCAGAGGTTCTGCAGAGAAGGTGGTGCTGAAGGTGTGTAGGTGGAACAGAGAGTCTGAGGAGACTCTGTAGAAGCTCAGAGAGCCGGCAGGACGGTTCAGATACACCCCCACTCTGTTAGGGGAGGAGGTGGAGGAGAGGATGCGTATTTCTCTGCTGTTGTGCCAAACAGAGTAACCAGAAACATCTGAGCATCTCAGAGTCCAGGACTGAGTATTCCTTCCAAACATGCAGTCTTTAGCATTTCCTCTTCTCCTGATGCTTCTGTAACTCACTGATACAGAAACTCCTCCTCTCCACTCCACCTCCCAGTAGCAGCGGCCGGTCAGGTCCTCCTCACACAGCAGCTGTGGACACCAGTCGTCAAACCTGTCTGGATGATCAGGATATAGCTGAAACTGATCATTTGACACCTTCCTGTTGAAGTCAGACAGCTTCAGGTTTCTGTTCAGCGTGTTGGTGTCGACTGTGAGACGACAGGAGTCTGATGGAGAGAACAAACAGTCACTGATCAGCATCATTTCACTCTGATCGATGAGGGCAGACGGCTGGATGTCAGGAACCAGATAAGAACACACTCACACTTCCTCAGACCTGGTGTCAGCCATCGTTCTCCAGCAGGCTCCAGCCTGAAAGGACGAGGGGGGGTCAGAGCAGCATGCACACATGGACATTTGATGTCACTTGACACAGACTCCAACTGCTCCAAATACTTTTAAAAAACACAGAAGCATCCTTTCACTGCATGAATAAAGTCTCTGAATCTGCTGAATTTAAATCTAATCTAGAAAAGGCTGTTCTTGCGAAATAGCTTTGAGAATGCCTAATGCTGAAGGGAGGAACCAGAAGAAGCCAAAGAAAAGCTGAAAAAGACATACATTGGAAAAGTTTGAAGGAGCTTTCAATTATTTTAAAATCACCAGAAGATGGTGCCAGAAGATAACAAAGAAAAGATGAAGAAGACAAGGACATAGACATCAGCAAAAGAGAACACTGAAATGTGACAAAAAGTCAGTAGAAAGTAAAACAACAATGGCTGGAATATAGAATAATCTTAAAGAGAAAAATAAAAACGATAAAACTCAGTATACAAGGACAAAAAAGAAAGCAAAATATATTTTGCAGGTGCAAAAAAGCCCAGAAATGGTTACACAGGAATGCGTAGCTGGACTGAACACACCTTTGACATGGAAAGGCGTGTGGTAGCACAAATGACGTAACATGTTCCTGTTTTTTACCCTCCATGGGTAGTTGCGCACCACTTTAGACTGAGTGAATATTAGAATTTAAAATCTTATTTCGTTTTCCCCTTTGAGACTCTGATGCAGAACTCTTTATACCTGAGAAAATCCAGCCGACAGCGTCTGTGGGTGAGGTTCATAGCGGCCTGCAGCTGCTCCATCCTTGAAGTTCCTGGATGGTTGTAGCTCAGGTCCAGCTCTTTCATATGGGAATCGTTGGAGGTCAGAGCTGAGGTCAAAGAAAGAAAGCCTGCTTCTTCGATCAGACATCCTGAAAGGCTGCAGGAAACAA